GTAGTACGTAATGTTGTTGTTATACATTACAGTGCAATATTTCGTAACGTTGTTTGCGCTAACTACAACTGTTATGTTTTGTAAACAAGTGTTTACGTGATAGTGCGTAACCCATTTCAATCATTTTTACGATAACTTATTTATATTGCTTATAATTAAATTAAAAACTTTGCATGTCGTACTATGATTCGTAATAATATAATGGGGATGTGTTATAGTTTACATTGCGCACTGTAACACGACGCTATGTCGCGTAATATTAAAAATTATAATATTCGTAATACCTTTTGATTAACAGTGCGTAATGGGAATTAATAATCATTTCGTATATAAATACGTATTGCAGTACGATAGAATTTAGTGCGTAACCCATTTCAATAATGTTTACGATAACTTATTCATATTGCTTATATTGAAATATTAAAAGCGTAACGTGACAGGGCGTAATAACCATTTTGTATATAAATACGTATTATATTAACTCGTAATGTAGTGGCACATGAGCAGCCAATCGTTATTACGTTATTTGATGGGTTATATGAATCTCTCTTTTATCCATTTGGTTCAACACATGTTATTGTTAGGGAAACCGTGCTACGATGCCGAAGACCATTCGAACAGCGAAGAGGAAGGCCACTAAGCCAGACCAAGAAGAGGAACCTGTGCCGGGCAAGCTTTCATCAACGTCGTCGACTGAGGTACTGCGCTTTGCACCTTATTGCGGTTTTTGTGATATTAAAAAGTCACTCTCTTTTTTGTCCTAGAGGTACATGATCGGCCGATCGTTAATTTGTAAGAGGAAAAGGTCAATTAATTTTCGCCTCGATCATTTGTTCACTGTTCATTCACGATCGTTTTATTCCAGCTCTTTTTTTGGTTTAAGTGACACATGAGCGGCCGATCGTTATTTCGTGCATTTAAAAAGGCATTCTCTATCTGTCTTACTTTATTTTTTGGGCTTAGAGGTACATGATCGGCCGATCGTTAATTTGTAAGATGAAAAGGTCATTTAAATTTGGTCTCGAACATTTGTTCACTATTCATTCACACGAGCGGTAACCC